CCTAGTCATCAAGAAAACATGCTCTTCACATAAAAAAAAATTTAGTTGTTAAAAGATGGATAAGACAGATGGATAATGTGCCATTTAACCAATTTCCCTATGCTCGAGGAAACCACTTTCCACCTTACTACAGAAGTAGGTGACACATCCTGTTTTGTTTGGCATCAATTTTAGGACTTTGTAATCACCAAGGAGCCCAGCCAAGCATGATAAAGACAACAGAGAAATTGTATACATTTTTACAAAAAATATTTAATGCTCTATATTTTTGTCATGCGGTCCTGTCTTGTATTGAGAAGAAACATTTACATGAAACTGGAATAGCATTATTCCGAGAATCCTTTCTAGTTATGTTCAGTGACCATTATTTGTTTGGAAAGCCCAGCATTAGGGAATTAAAAACTCAATTCCAGCTAGCTAGGCTTGCAATTTGGTAGGTCAGTTTGTGGTTGGAAAAGATCAGTATAAGTAAAGTATTTAAATATTCAGTTAAAATCAAATTAGCATCCAGCTGCAGTTTAATATGAAGAACTGCCACTTACTTGACCAAGAGAATAAAATATAATAATAATTTGATGACTATCTTCCCATTGCCCACACCTTCTTGACACTTGTCAGGCAACAACAATCTCACTCACCATTGTTTCCTATTTTTTCCCCTTTCTTTTGCTGGCCACTCCCACTCTGTCTCTCACACCCCATTATAAAAATATAGGAGATCCAAGATTTGAACAGCGCAGGGAGCAGCACAAGATTTAGGTTGTCCCTTTCTTAAGCCCTTGAAATTTTACCTTCAAAATTAATGATATGCTGGTCTACCTACTCTAAGCTCATCCTTAATTAAGGATTAGGGAGTCAAAGATTCAGATTGCAGAGAGGGGTGGGTTTGACTAATCATCATGTAACACATACACAATGCTGTATATTTCTCAACCTTAATAACAAAAATTACTTCCTCTTAACCTAAGGAACCATTACGATCGTAAGTGATAATTAGGCAAATGGAATTATGGAACTGGCATTAATGTAAATGGGAAAGTAATTGATCTTAAAACATTTGTTCCACATATAAAAAGTATAGGGTTAGCAACAAAGGAAAGCAAATGAGAATGTAATTGATCATAAAAATATGAACCCTCAAATATAAAAGTATTTGTATATGTTCCACTTGCGAAAGATACTACTCCAAAATGATTTTCATAGACAATGAGTTTGTAGTTATGAAGCTAATTCACCCACACACAAATAGATGATGTTTTGACGCTTACATCAAAGGTTTATCATCTTCTATTAGGGTATAGCTTCATCATAAACCATGTGAATCCGCATTGTAAACAAAGTGAGGTTGAGCACACCCACAATGCGAATTTGTATTGAATGTGATCTAGCTCTTTTTATAATGGGAATTCGCATTGAAAGTGAACTTTGGTTTGACTCTTAGATCAACAGGTTCAAGGGCGGTCCTACCCTAAGGGCAGAGTAGGCAGCCCTCTACTCCATTTTTTGCCAAACCAAATATTACCCAATACTTAATACAATTATATCTCTTCTGCCTACTCAACCCCAACCCACTCAAATATTTTCCCTTAACAAAAACAATAGCCCAGCCCACTCAAACTTTTTCATTTAACAAAAACAATAAAAGCAATATCAACTCAAATGCTCCAGCCCAACCGACATTCTCCACTCCAACCCCATTGGCCATGCCCACTATATTATACTTCAAAAAAACAAAAAGAGTAAAAAATGCTTGACTGAATCTCAGAACTAGAAGATTATCTTAACTCAGGCACACGTTTTTGTTTATTAATAGGAAAAATAAAAAATCAGAATCAGCTTAAGTTTTTCAATATATTTGATCCTTGGAGTTAGCTTTTGTTATGCTGAAACAAAAACATAAACTACAGAGCAGCTCCAATTTCATTTTAATACTTTAGTCTTGGTCTTGCAAAATGAGTCTCTGGATATGGGGAATCTTTAATAATTGTGCAACACGATCTGGCCATTCACATTCCCCATGTTTCTATTGAAGTGAGTCTCCTAATTAATCAAGGAGATTTATTTCCTTGATTAATTAAGAGGTTTACTTTCCTATTTTATATAGTTGTCAAATCATTGTATAATTATGAGATACTTTCCTAATCTTTTACAGTATCTAATTCCTTGTAAGCACTCATGTAAACTCTTATATATACTTCCTTATGGAGAAGAATAAAATAAGAACCTAACACATTCAAACCCATATTCATATTTTAGCATGGTATCAGAGCAATCGATCCTCGGTTGTCTCTAAATTCCCATATCAAAATTTCTCCTCCCCTCCTCTTCAAGGGAGGGAGGGGGAGTGAAAACGGATATGTTTCTCTTTCTCATGAAGATTTTGCCTCTTTCTTGACTCCGACATACCCTTCTCTTCAGGGGGAGAAGAGGATTGAAGAGAAGTTTCTATGTCCTTAGCCGTGTTCACAGGGTTTCTGTGTTCTTTAAACTCCTCATATCAAATTTCTCATATTTCTTCCAAATCCAAATCTCCCAAATTTAAAGTCCTCAAATGCCTTATCTCAAATTTCTCATATTCAAATCCAAAACCCTAAATCAAATTCCTCATATTTTCCCCCAAATTCAAATCCCTCAAATCTAAAGTCCTCAAATGCCTTATCTCAAATTTCTCATATTCAAATCCAAATTCCTCAAATCAAATTCCTAAATCAAACGGTCGGTCACCAGTGGAAATCGACCGGCCCCCCCTTAGTTCTTCGAACACGGAGAATCTGCTTCAAAACTACAGTCGCCAGTGGAAAGCGACTGGTAGTCAGAGAAACTGTTTCAAACCGACCGGTTGCCAAAATTCAGTGACCGGTCACCAGAGGAAAACAATCAGTTTTCTCCACGCTATCAAAATCAGGAGGAGGAAATTGAACCGTCTTATGAGATTTTGCCCGCTTCAGCTCCAGTACCACACCAATCACCTGCTGAGGAAGTCATTTAGTGCGCCGGCTGACACACCCATTAAGATGAATCACAAGTTGTGTGAAGACATGGACCAAGAACCAACCAATAAGGAACAGTATCAAACGCCTTGTTGGAAGGTTGATATACTTGGCACACACAAGACCAGATAGTGCATATGTTGTGAGTGTGGTTAGTTAGTTTATGCATTCACCCAGTGTTTCTCATATGAATGCTGTTGATCGAATCTTAAGATACTTAAATTCAGCCCTTGGAAAGGTTTTAATGTTCTCAAAACATGAAGATCTTGAAGTTTTCGGATATACATATGCTGATTGGGCTGGGTTCATTACAGATAGATGCTCTACTTCTGGTTACTTTACATTCATGGGAGGTAACCAAGTCACTTGGTGGAGAAAAAATAAAATAAAATTTGGTGTCTCAATCTAGTGCAAAAGTAGAGTATAGAGGAATGACTCAAAGAGGTTGTGAATTATTGTGAATCAGAAGACTCTTGACAGAATTGGGTTTCAAGCCAGAAAAGCTAATGGAGTTACATTGTGATAACAAGTCAGCCATTGATATTGCCTATAATCTAGTTCAACATGATCAAACCAAACATGTTGAGGTGGATAGACATTTTATCAAAGAAAAAATTGAGAAGAAGATCATCCACCTACCATTCATAAAATCAGAAGATCAACCAGCAGATATCTTAACCGAAGCTGTTTGTGGCAGAGTATTTCATGACTCACTTACCAAGTTGGGCATTTGTGACGTATATGCACCAACTTGAGGAGGAGTGTTGAAGTGAGTCTCCTAATTAATCAATGAGATGTATTTCCTTGATTAATTAAGGAATTTACTTTCCTATTTTATATAGTTGTCAAATCATTGTATAATTAGGAGATACTTTCCTAATCCTTTACATTATCTAATTCCTTGTAAAGCACTCATGTAAACTCTTATATATACCTCATTATGGAGAAGAATAAAATAAGAACCTAACATATTCAAACCCATATTCATATTTTAGCAGTTTCCAGCAGGAAACTGTGCCAAGCTAAGAGAGGAACATGATCTGACAAAATAATTATAATTTAAATTAAAAATATTTATTCCTTTTCATTTTCCAATAATTTATTAGATAGAAGTCTTGTAATGTTATAATTTGATGATAATTTACACATATTGAGAGGATCAAACCTCCAAAATATTCAGAGGCATATGCGCTTAGTCGTTGAAGTTTTCATGATTTGTTTCGTAATCTCAGTTTTCTTTGGATCACATATTGAGAATTTGTTTGATTTTTGGTTGTGATGTTTGATTAAATAGGTTATCTTTTATTATGTCGGATCACAATCGGAACCCTAATAAAACAAAGAATTTGTTCTCTTTTATTAAGAAAAAGAATTATGGGTCATCATTTAGTATAATGCTTTTGTTAAGCTTTTATTTATGTATAGATATGCATATTTGAGGGTAAGACTCATTATGTCCCCCTTTACTAGGTGTATCTTTTTATTTTTATGAATAAAATTCACTCGTACTGTCGAGTTTTTAAGGTAAGTTTTGCCTACTTGGATTTTGAACCCTGGATCCCCCACTGAACAGGTTTATCATTTTTTATACATATACAAGATATTCCTAGGAAGGGTTGAATCGAATACAAAATCTTAAATCCCAAATTTAATGATAACTGCTCTTAACTACTTGAATTACAAACTCTTATATTTGTCACTCTCAATTTGAATATAAACTACTTACCATCATTGGATTGTGTTCCCAATCCATACAAAGCCATCCCTTTCTTTATACAAAGCCATCCCTTTCTTTATGTTTCTCAATATAACAATTTTCAGGGTTTGAGGGACAATTCACAATATCTACCATTGACTGCATTCCAGGTGTGGGAAAACACAACCAGAAGAAACAGAAAAGCTTATCCCCATGTGGACAGTACTGATATGGTTAGGGGGTATTTAAATAATTGCACATGTTCTGAGTTCACTGAATTTGAGACAATAAATAGATATGGACCGTATGCCCTGTCTCCTAAAAATTTCTCGAGTTTTGGACTCTGGAGCGGATAAAATCATAAAAATTCATTTTCCATAAAAGAATCAGATAAATACCACACCCAAAAAAAAACAGTCTCACTCAGACTGAGAGAAAGAGAAGAGCGAGTAAGAGCTGAAACAAAAGAAAAACCACACAGTTGTACAAACAGAAAACACAGCACACAGAGAGAGAGAGAGAGTGGATGGTTGGGTTCACGAGCTCTATCGTAACGCCTCAGCAATCAGTGTGCTAAAATACCCAGAAAAGAAAAAAGGAAAAAGCTTTTTTCTTTGGCCAAAAATCTGAGAAACCCCCCATTTCTGAGGTGGGTGAAGCTTCACGGGCTCGAACCCATCTCGGTCTTTTTCTTCACCCACCAGCTTTTCATCAATCCAGTGGTCCACGTCCTGCCACGTCATCTCCACCACCGCCTTCTCGGTTGATTTGATCACTGTTTTGGGCCATTTTGCTATTGTTTCTGTCTCTCTCTCTCTCTCTCTGTAATGTAACAGAGAAAGAAAGCTCAGCTTGTGGAGGAACTTAATTAGGTTTTTTTATTTTTTATTTTTTAAAAGGTGTTGGTATATATAGAGGGTGAGAGGAGAGAGATGGATCGGTCTGTGCTCACGGTTGGGCCAGGCATGGATATGCCGATCATGCATGACAGCGATCGGTACGAGCTCGTTCGTGATATTGGGTCGGGAAATTTCGGGGTTGCCAGGCTTATGAGGGACAAGCAGACTGATGAGCTTGTTGCTGTGAAATATATAGAGAGAGGTGAGAAGGTTAGTGTCTGAATTTTACTCTCTTTTTGTTCTTTTTTTCTTTTAGATGAGTTTTTGAGGTCTGACTGAGTTGTTCTGTATGTGAGGGAATTCACTGTTTTCTTGGCATTAATTTTTTTTTTATAGGTCCGTTGATGGGTTTTTCGTTTTATGCTCGATTAAAGTTTCCTTTTTTGTGATCCTTTCAAATTGATTTTGGTGGGTCATAAAATGTTTTTGTCTTTGTGTGTCTTTTGAATGGAAATTTCCGGAAGTTGATTGTTTATTTGTTGCTTGAGGGTTAATAAGTTTCCTACTGAAGTGTCCAAAACAGAAACAGTTGTTTTTCTTAGATTTGAATTCTTAAATGCTCAGGATTTTGTTTGTAAAAAAGCTGGAACTTGACAATCTAATGGAGGATAGAAGATAAACATCTGCCCTCTGCTAAACTTCTGAATAAACCAGAGAAAAGAAAGAAGCAATGAATTTGAACTGCAAATTTACCTTACATTGGCCCAGTAGTTTCCTATGTTATGGATTGCAAATTTCTAAATGTTTGTTTTCTTTTATTTTCCCAGTTTGTTGGTCTGTAATTCCTCTTTGGAATGAATTTTTCTTCTCAGTTAGGTGCCGATGGATAAAATGAGAATCTGTGGATGTTTAAAGAATCCAGAATTAGCATTGGCTTTCTATTCTATAACCATGCATATAGTAAAACCACTAATTGTATGTCTGAGAAAGAAACTTGTAAAGAGACTAAATTTGAGTTTTAACTCTGTAACTGACTTCGATATGTAGCTGGAAAATAAGTATACAACTGTGTCAGATAGAATTTGACCATGTTAGAATTGATGACATTTGAGGACTGCAGACTAATGGTTTTCATTAGTAGATCACAAGCACTAAGACTTTTCCTGGATGGGTTATGCTGGCATTCCTTTGTAAATTGTTAAATTATTTAAAAAAACCTTTTAACAATTTTATGTTATCTTCTTATTGAGTGTGTTGAAGTTAATCTTATTTTTTAGTGATGTAGGTAGGACAAGTCATCTGATTGGTCAAGATCTTTTTATCTATGCCAGATAAATTTCTATTGTCCTGTATGGCTTGTAATAGGCCTTGTTGTGCTTGGTAGTTCAATTCAAATACTCTCTTATCATTGTTGATTTACCCTACTTCTATATTTTGTCTAACAGATAGATGAAAATGTACAAAGAGAAATTATAAACCACAGGTCATTGAGGCACCCAAACATTGTCCGATTCAAAGAGGTCTGTTAATTTCTAACATCTAATCACACAGATTAAATCCTCCATGGGATTCAGTAATGTTACTATTGATTGCAGGTAATATTAACCCCTACTCATCTGGCTATTGTGATGGAGTATGCATCTGGAGGAGAGCTCTTTGAGCGGATATGCAATGCTGGGCGGTTCAGCGAGGATGAGGTTCTTATCCAATACATTAATTTTGTTTCTAATTGTGATTCCGACTTATTTCTAATGGACTTGTGTTGCAGGCACGCTTCTTTTTCCAACAACTTATATCAGGAGTCAGTTACTGTCATGCAATGGTGTGCTGACTGATCAGTCTATCTCTGTTGTGATTCTTTTGATATCTACTAGATTTCTGACTGGATATATATTTTTGCATTTCATCATGAAGCAAGTGTGCCATCGGGATTTGAAGTTGGAGAACACATTGTTAGATGGAAGTCCAGCTCCTCGTTTAAAAATATGTGACTTTGGCTACTCAAAGGTACGTGACTCTCTCTCTCTCTCTCTCTCTGCACGTGCCCTTGCCTTCATTTTACAGAAGTCGGGTGCTAAATTATGACAGATCTCTGGTGATTAAACTTAAAACAAAAATGTATCCAGAAAATCACTAGAAAAGTATGGTTCCTTGAATGCAATGCATGTGTTTTCCTTTAACTGGTAGATACTTCATAGGAAGTTGTCTGCCCCTTGTACTTTTGTGATATTGGTGAAGTGTAAGCTAATTTTTCATTGCTAACCTGTGTGTGCTATTACCTTCTTTGTTCTTTGTTTGTTTTTGTTTTTTTTTCCCATATCCATCTAATTAGGCTCTGTCTCTTTTCTCAGTCCTCGGTGCTGCATTCACAACCAAAATCAACTGTTGGCACCCCTGCATATATTGCTCCTGAAGTGTTACTTAAGAAAGAATATGATGGCAAGGTAATAATGTTTTTCATCTATACGAATCAGTCTGTTTAAAGTTGGAGAGGATAATTCTTTTAACTAACATGTTAAGTAATCTTGATTAATGGTCTCTTATTATGTTTGTTGAATTTTAGTTATTTCTCTATTCAATTCTTTATAAGTTCATTTGTCACTGTATTTGCATATATTTAACTTAGCTTAAGACTTTCTGGGAAAAAAAAACTTACAACTTATAACTTGCAACATATACTCCCATAATCTTATAGTTATTAGTATGTAAAGCTGTCCTATTTCTATCTCAATTGTAATAATTTATGAGTAATCCAACCACCCTTAAATCAGTTCCAAATCTAGTAGGGCCAAAGTGCAGCTCGCAAGGTCAAAACAATTCCACCATGATATATGGAGTTCAGTTCTGAGTTCATCTGGCAGAAATTTAAAACACCATGACCATGGGTAACTAGCTGCAACTGAAAGGATGAGCCAGGAAAGATTGTTGGATATTACCACAATGCATAAATGTTGGGGGGTTACTTTTTTCTTCTTGCCTTATCCTTGTTTTTGGTACCTTACAAACTGTACTCTTGAGGGCTTTTGTGTTGACTGATGATAACCTGAGGCAAATGCCAGGAAAGCAAAAGTGCACTAGTTAGATGCACATTCTAAAATATGGCAATTTGATTACCCACCACCCCTTAGAAAGAAAGGGTTGTTCTGAATCAATGTTCGATCTCTATTCCCTGCATACATGATTCAATGCTGTGTACTTCTGCATGATGGATAAAGGTTATTCTTTCCTCTGCTTTCACATAAATTGAATACATCATGTCAATAGTTCTCCACTTTGGTATGCCTTTCAGATTGCAGATGTCTGGTCTTGTGGGGTGACCTTATATGTCATGTTGGTGGGTGCATACCCATTTGAGGATCCTGGGGAGCCTAAAAACTTCCGCAAGACAATACATGTAATTTTTTTGCACCATATTCAATACTGAAACAGGGAAGCTATGACACTTAACTAAATGAAAGATTATTTCTCTTTTGCAGCGTATAACAAATGTTCAGTACTCGATTCCTGACTATGTTCACATATCTCCAGAGTGCCGCCATCTAATCTCAAGGATTTTTGTTGCAGAACCAGAGAAGGTGGGTGATATTCTTTGTATTATAGGTGTGCACCTATACCAGTATCTTATTCCACCTTGATCCATGCCCTATTTGCTTATTGCTGGATTCTTGTACATGAATTTTTTTAGGATCTTGCATTTACTTATCCTTCTCATTCTGTTCCTGTGTATGTGGCATCCCTGAACCTGGTTTCACAAAATGCAAAGAGAATAGGCGGCATTTTGTGAAAGAAACCAGGAATGCAGCCTATTCTCTTTCCTGGTTTGCAGCCTATTCTCTTTCCTGCATATAGAAATATGCTTTGCAAGTTGTTTCTTTCATTGGCTTGCTCCCCATATCTGATCAGGGTTCAAAGGACAGAAAGAGCAATGTTCTAATTTGAGTTCCATTAAATATTTTTCTGTGCGACAGAGGATAACCATTCCTGAGATTAGGAACCATGAGTGGTTTCTGAAGAACCTTCCAGCAGATCTCATGGTTGAAAACACCACAAACAGCCAGTTTGAAGAGCCTGATCAACCCATGCAAAGCATTGATGAGATCATGCAGATAATTGCTGAGGCTACGATACCTGCAGCTGGGACGAACAGCCTCAACCAGTATCTTGCTGGCAGCCTGGACATTGATAACATGGAGGAGGATCTGGAGTCTGATCCCGACATCGACATTGACAGCAGCGGAGAGATAGTCTATGCAATATAGTTGGCAGAGTGCTTGGTCATGGTGCGGATGACGTGCAAGCAGGAATTTAGAAGACCTGCTTCTATGAAACTAATTATTATCTTCAGTCACAACTCCGCCGATGTGAAATTGGAGCAAGGGTTTTTAGCCTTTCCTGGCAATGGAGGGTTCAGTGCCTGAAAGTTTCTGGCAATGGAGGAGCCTGTGTTTCTTTTTTTCTCCTTTTTCTAGCGGCATGCTTCTGTTCATTTGCATTGCTTTGTTTTTGCCACTAATTACTAGTGGCATTTATCTACTGTTATGTACTTGTCGCAAGTAATGTAACAGGTGGTTTGCTGAAAATTGTATCAGTGCTCATTCTCCAGAAAGTTTCCCCTCTTCTCTCTCTCTCTCTCTCTCTCTCTCTCTCTCTCTCTCTCATGTTTTTGAAAGAATTGTAGGAAATATAAGCCGGATTTTGTCATAAGAAGAAAAAAACCTTATGTAATTGTGAACGCCTGTAGGATGTGGATCAACCCGACGTTAATTTGAATTTAGACATTATTGTGTTTCTAATTCGACAGGATTGTACTTAAATTTCCAAATCCCCAAAAAGGTTCAGGGTTAAGCAGTGATTAGCCTTTCCACACCACCCGATTTGTATCCATAATTACAAATAACGCAAAGTCACATAATATGTAACTTTGGATAATAGAGGTTTTACAAGGAACCCACGTTTTTTAATTTCAAACTTTCAGAAGTTTTTGGACCTTCTGAAAAGTAATTACAAAATTTTAAATCTTATTTAGGGGTAAGCAAAATAACAAGGATGTGCATTTGTGCGTAGAAGCAGGACTGTCTTTCCAAAGCAAAGCACTTAAACAGTACCGTATGTCTCAGCTTACAAAATCTTCAAAAGTGGGCATCCATCTTGTGCATCAACCATTGACATATTTGTAGCAAAAATTTTACTGCAAACATATTGTCAAACAACAAAATTACCTTCATAGCTCATCTGGTGCCATTCTGTTAAAATATTTCATGGACCTTGGGACAACAAATGTTATGAAGTTAAACAAACATAAAAACAAGATAACTCATGGACTAGCTGTTGACTGCTAATCATCACATATGAACATAATAAACGGGTGTCTAACAAGATATTCCTACATATAACGGCTAGAAATATAATGCTTTGCAACCACACAGATGGTATGTGAGAGCAATATGAAAAATCATTCCAAAAATGAAAAAAAAATAACAGAAAGGAAATAAGTAAGAGAGGGCATCCTTAACTAGCTAAAATATCAGCTTTCAGAACCAACAGTTTCCGCTGCAGGGGCTGAGCGATCTTCCTCCGAATTCCTCTCACCAGTTTTTTCAGCTGCATAACCTGATGGATCCGCATATCCATTGGTCGGTGGCTGTGACTGGTGTTGTGGCTGATGCTGTGACTCTCCATTGACAGGAGGATTCACTGCTTGGCCATAATGGGAAGGGTCTGGCTGAGGATACCCACCTTGTCCATATACTGCTGACTGAGATGCTGCAGAAGGGTCTTCGACCGCCTGCTGCCCTCCATAACTTGTTTGGTAATAGCCCGTTTGAGTATGTGGTTGCCAATACCCAGCTTGAGAGTTGGCCGGTGGCTGGCTGTATGGAACTGGATAAGCAGCTGATGGCTGAGTACTTTGAGAGGAAGCACTTCCATCTACACTGGATGGCACTGCAGGTGGCCCATATCCTGAAGTTGCATATTGGTGCTGCTGATCAGACCCTGGAGCTTGACCAGAGATGTTTTGTCCATAACTTGGTGGCTGCTGAGCGTAACCCTGTTCATAACCATGGCTGGCGACAGGGGGTGTCTGGTTGTAGTTGTAGCTAGGATTTGGGGGAGCTGACCCCATCGGAGGTTGTTGTCCATAGTAATTATATGCACTGCTTTCTTGAGGTGGTTGAGAGCTGGGTACTTGGTTTGACTGATCCCAACCTGCTACCTGGGTAGGATAGTTACCATAGTACGAGGCAGGAGGTGCATAGCTTCCTGGTTGTGTGTACCCATAATGAGGCTGCTGTTGCTGAATTGGAGCTTGTCCTGGTGGGGCCCAATTACCAGGAGGGGCATAAGACTGCTGCATATAGCTATTGGTTCCAGAGGTATTTACTAAACGCTTCTGCAGAAGTGAAACCAAGGACAGAATATATAGAACTAACCAAGAAGCAACAATCCAATAATTCAGAGGAATAATATGATGAGAAGGGTAACCAAGAAGCAACAATCCAGTAATTCAGAGGAATAATATGATGAGAAGGGTAATGGGAACTGAATGTTTCAATTGCCAATTATGTCTGCATTTGGACCGATCAGTACAGGAAGAATTTAACCAGAAACCGAGTTCAAATTTAGGCCAAAATTTCTGACATTCAATAAAAATTATAAGAAAAAATTAGAGTAAATAGAGGAAGAGTACAAAGTGATGCAAAGAGGACCAGTGCTCCAACCTTAGCTATCAGAACAATTTTAAAGAAAACTATACACCACATCAAGGAAGAAAACCAGTCCTAAAAACCACTATTTCAGTCCCCAAAAAGAAAACTTCTGAATAATCCTTATAAAATAGTTGCACTTGAAACCAATAATGAAGCAAAATATAATGTTCTCTTTCTCGCTCTCTGTCTCTCTCCCTCTCCCTCTTTGACAATTTGCTCGATGGTCATTGTATAGGATTACAATTGATAAAGAATGACCATCAAGCAACTTGTCAAAGAAAGACTCGGAAGAAAATCTGATAATGCTAACCCGAACAAGATTTTGTTCATCAGATTAAAAGGTCAATTGTTGTAAGTAGAAAGCAATGCTAATCCTTTATCATAAGATCATACTTTTTTTAAAATTGAACTTTTGTGAAAAAGATAAAAAAAGGTTGAATGCAAAAACAGGTAACCAACAAACCACTGATGACTCACCCCACTGATTACTTCGTTGACCAATTCCTTGGCTGCCTCAATTTGCTCTGTCACTCCATTTATATATACTGATCTCTCAGCTGACATATCACCAGGAGGAAGGTGCAATGGTACAACCTGAAGCAAAATAATATATTAAATATAACGGAGATAAGATGTAGGAACATACGAGACAAATGGCATGCAAGACTTGTTCCATGTGGTGAGGCAATTGTCATTCCATAAAAATGCCTATGCTATCAATTTTATTTCAGGAACATAATCTCAAATATGACACAGAAAAGGTTTGAGTCCTCGACAACTTTAGAATAAAAAATAGTAGATAAACATTTAAACCTAAAAAGAAAAAAAGCAATGCCCTAAATAACAGACCGATCATTGAACAAAAAGTGGCAGAGGGTCAAGTTTTAAAGGTTCAACCACATACTATGATGCTATACAAACATAACAATTATATTTTTCATATAAAGTTATTCGATAAAAATTTAAGAAGTTACATACCATGTAATTTTAACAACTCAAAATTTTGAAAAGAATATGTTATTTTGCTAAAATTAGTTCCAATATTTTGTATTTCTCATTGAGCATAAAATATCATTACATAAACATAACATCCACATTTTTTTAATGCATACTTCATGTTCATTAGGTTAAATTATTTATTTTTTAAAGCACTTATATATAAAGGATAAACATATTTCTTACTATGGTTTTCATGCTTTTTTTAATCGGACTTAGGTTCAGTTTTCCGAATAATAAATACAGTGTTTTCCAGGATTGGTTCAAATAAAGAGGTTACTATAACAAGAGAAGTGAGTACTATAGTAAAAAAAAATTTCCTTTTTTTAAAAAGGAGAAAAGTACTATAGTAATCTAATGGATGCAAACCCAACACAATGGCCATTTCTGCCCCCATACTAAAGTTATATGCTATTAATTTCCAATCCTTTTCATGCCGAAAAACTAAATGCTCTGAAACCATCAAACCAATCAAGTTGGCTTTAATGCAGTAAGAGTGCAAATATGAACCAAGTGTCATAATTGTATTTTACTATTTTGACAAGGTTGTTATAATTTCTATTTGAAAATACGTGTGACCAACCAATGGAATTATGAGATAGTATAAGTTCCCATGATTACTTTTACCCTCCTTAAAATACACACCTGAATACGAGCTCCTGACTTGCTTTGCATATTCCTGATAGTCTCACCTCCCTTGCCAATAATTAAAGCAACCTATGAAAATAACGAGTGCAAGCATGACACTGTTACATTAGCATTAGCTTCATCTAAAAAGAAAAATATCCAACAGATCTACCTTATTATTGGGAACTTTCATGACAAACTGTTCTGTTCCAGGTTGGATTGAGTTGAATCCCTGATTTGTAGAGGGAGGAGCAGCGCCCCCTGCATCTGCCTGTACAACAAAAATATTTTTTGAGAGAACGGTACTTTTTGAATCATGAAACTGCAAGAACATCAATGCACAAACCAATATAAACATAGCTTTCACCTCTGCTATGACATCACTGATAAGTTGTTCTGCCCTACTGATCTGTTCAGACGTACCCGTCAAGTCCACATCCCTAGTTAGAGAACTAAGATCAGCTTCTGAATCCCTGGTTATCTGGATTTTGGCCCCTGACTGAAGTTGCAGCTGTTTTATCGTTTCTCCTCCTTTTCCAATAATTACCCCAACCTGAAAGACAGAATTACCGAAACAAATCCAATTTCATCAGCATTATGCCATGAAAAAAGTCCAAGAAGCAGCAAGAAACCAACAAAGTACCTTCCCATTTGGTATAGTTATTTTCTTGCTTGTGCCTGGAGAACCATAAGACTGGCCTGATTGCGCGGTAAAAGAAACTGAACCAACTTTTTAGTTAGAAAACGAAGGTCTCATGCAGTTCTAAAAATGGGGATGCTTGTATGAAAATATAACACCACACTCCTAACACAATGGGAGAGGATCTTGGATTCAAACATGCAGATGCACTACAAGAAATAGCCCGAATCTTTATATTTAACTACTGTATGACATCCACGCAACAGGCTCTCTTTTTTCTTTTAAAAAAAAAAAAAAAAAAGAGGACATTGACCACTCGTGGGAACTGATACCCATGATTGAGCACCAGATGCTCCACAAAAGCTCAACAGTCCAGGGGTGGAGTAGTTCATTACTTAATCCCAAGTGCTCACTATCACCTAAATTCCCTAAACCTAAAGTTAGGTTTAACGACCAAAGAGCTAGACTGAAAGTAGAACTCTCTTTTTTTTTTTTTTTCCATTCACACACAATCCAACCCCAAAATCTCCACATATCTTGCGCTATAGTTAACAATTATTTCCCTTTTTTATAAAAATTTTCAATTAACAGTAGAGGCGAATAGTAATAAATTAACAAAACTAGAAGACTAAAACCCTAGAAAGAGCAAAGCATTGGAAGAATGAAGGAGTACCAGGGTAGGGAGGAGGGTTGAAGACGGGGCTAGGCTGGAAAGGCTCCTCTTCGAGTCGAGGGCGCTTTGACTCGGCGTCACTGACGAGTCGGGCGGCGATTTCCTGAGCTTTCTGCTTGGCCAGTTCGATGCTGAAACTGCTGTCTTCCAGCTTTCGCTTTGCACTGTCGCCGGTGGCGGTGGCTTCTTGGTGTTGGTCTTGGTCTTCTTTCATGGTGCAATCGCTCTATGACTCAGTGAGTGACTCGCCGACCAATTGGGGAGAGAGAGAGAGAGAGAGAGACAGAGACAGACAAGGTGAGGGAAGTGAAAGGAGGAAAAGACTTGGCATAACAGATTACATGGACATAGGGCTCTGATTGAAAATATGAAATCTGTCCAGACGACGTCGTTTCTAGATTCAATTGTGATTTTTTTTTTTGGGTCAAAAAAATTAAAGATTAAGTCTTGCCTGCTTCCCATTTGAGCAATTTATTTTAGGCAAAATATTAATTAAATATAACCCTTTTATTTTTATTTATTTATTTATTTTTGCAGCTTAATAGTGAATGGATGCCATGCTCTCATTGAATTAGGCATGAAAGTGAACTAATTTCAGCTATAAATATTCTGATCTACTTCTCAAAATTCAACCAAGAAAACATGTCCTTGCCGATAGACATCGCATTTAGCGTACAAAGAATTCCTCAAGATCAAATATCTCAAATTGACAATTTGAATGACCAAGAATTCCTCAAGTCATCGCTCTCATACCATTTATATGTTGGTAGCCCAAGCAGAAGAATGCTTGAGTGGATTCAATCAGGACAGAGAGCTTCAACAATTTACAGACGAAGTATCAACACTTCTTTGAGATGGTGCGATGCCGGCTGCCGGCTGCGTAATAAAGATGCTAGTGTGTTATACCCTAACAAAAAGAATAGTCTGACATTTGCAAAGTCTCCCTCTCCCACAACAAAGAAAAGAAACATAAAGAGCAAATAAGGCTGTCCAATTAGGCAAACGAGTGTAGCAGTTATCACCACCAAAGGCATCTTCAGAACCACCGTTTGAGCTCCAAATTGATGCCACTTCCCACTTTGAGTAATTTCACAATCAATAGCACTGATCACCGCATTGGATAAAATTTCACCTATATCAAAAGAGAGAGTTAAAATTATTTGATGAAGCCCTAAATCTTATTACTTAAAAGGTTCAAGTAAGCAAAAGCATACATGTCTGTGACATGAAAAACTTATGAACTGAAGGGAGACAGATTTATTACATGAAGAGCTCATCTTATTAACTAAATGAAAACCGAATGCCTCGGGGAAACAAGGGGGATGTATAATACCTACTCTAAAGTGGTAGGGTACAGGCTACGATGAACAGCGTAAAACTTAACAAAGAAAACCTGAAAAAGTTAACAAATACCTGGTGCAGGTTTGGACGCAAGAATTAGAGCTTATTTGGTTCAACTTCAGATTGACTGCCACTTTCAGAATTTTGTGACGGTGCCATTCTCAATACCCTTTGGGGTCTTCTATACCACAAAAATGCAAACCATAATGTCCTTAACAACCCCCCATTAGCCAAGTGTGGGATCAAAATTTTCCCCCAGAATGGGTAATATGGACCTGGCAATTTGAGCAGTGTGAAGAAGATTGCCATGACAATCAGATGCCAGGGAACTTCTGCATCCTGACAATTAAAACCAGACAATAAGCTTCAATAGTAAATAACCGAGTTTAATTTTCATTCCTTCACTTATGCAAGAACTGTTCCCATAGAATGAACTCACAAAAAGATTCAGGACACTCTAAGATACACTGAAAATGAGAAATTCAAATCAGGGTGTGCTGCAATTCTAAAGGAGGGAAACAAATAGACAGAAAAACAAAAACAAAAGGCAAATGGGGAAAACTATGTTGCAGTCATCAATTATTTCATAATATTGTCTTTAAATAAAAAAAATTATAACGATATTTTGAGTAATATAATAGCAAACAAAGAAGAACCAGATTCCTGAAGAAACCCACCCCCAACTCTGTACTTGTTTAAATCTTTCTGCCACAAGTAAGGGGTTTGAGCAAAATAACTTTACCTTAAGAAGTGGGGAAGCATCCAAGGCTGCCAGTTTTAAGACTTCCGCAATAGCCATTCCAATGAGGACTGGAATAGGAACTAAAAACAACTTCTTCGCATGTGCACAGTAGGACATTTCACTAAGGGAGGAAACAGCCAGCAAAGGTACAGATAAGTATTTGACAACTGCTAGTATAAGGTCAAGGATGAGTTGAATAAAGTTTTGCACGGCCCTTTTCCAAGGGAAGATCTTGACTGGCTGTGGAGAGCTTTCCCACAATTTTCTTGCTTTATTAATCAGGTGATTGAATTTTATCTTCCCAGGTTCATCGGACTGTCCTGCAGTCATATTTATCGCACACGAGATATAGTGCCGAGAATTCTGACGCAACCCAGAAAGCCTAACACTCTGACCAAAGGCATACAGTTTACTACACTGTGCCAAACCCTTCAACAACAAAATGAAACTTGTTAACTGAGGAAGCTACACAACCCAATTGAACAAAAGCTACATGCCAACTAGTTTGATATTCATGGGGAAAGTTACTCACTAAAACATAACATTGCCAAAGTCAGCGGTTCAAAATTCAGATAAATTAGATGATGTGAGGTTCTAAATTTATTTCCCCAGAAAACATAAAACGTAATCGTTTAAATCACAATATGATTGTGCTGACAATTCTAGACCCATTTTGTGCATTTGTTTTGCCCATCAACCAAACATATCAGCATACAATAAAAAGTTGAAAGCACATATAAATTTCTACCACAAATGAACATAAGATTGAAAACAATTCCAGAAACACGTTTCCTAACATTCAAAATGAAGAAAATTTAATCCTCACACAACAAGATTCAAGAATGCCCATTTCAATTCTGTTCTAAGGAGATTCCCATATATATTATCATAATTTTAAAAAATAAAAAATATATAAATTAGAAGCTCACCTTGAGCCCAAGAACAGAAGGAGGAGCATGAGCCCGAAGGTTGATTTTAGCGGAGCCTTGGAGGTGGGGGGAGGCAGATAACAAGTGAGAAGGATAAAGAGTTGCCATTGCTTACAATGCTCGAGCCCGTTTCCAGAAAAATTGAAAATAAAATAAAAAATTAGGTGATGATTTCTTTGATTCGAAACGCCATGGCTGGATTTGTTGGAGGATAAGATACTGAAGAAACTCTTCGATGTCGGAGTCGCAGACGGTATTTTCGGTGTGGGAAATTGAGAATGAGAGAGGAGGGTTTAAGGGATGGAGCTGGGATCCGCTACTGCCGCCATATTGTAAGCGTACCTTCGTGGCCGCCAGTTAATGGGCCGTCCATAAATTTTTATTTTTATTTTTCGGTTTGAGAAACACATTTTATAAAAATAAATACATAGTTCAACCAAAAGAAAATGAAGAATTATATATAAGTGAAGCTTTATTGAATAATTTAAATTAAATAGAGCTCTCGTTACTGATAAGCTCCTTACACCTTGGACTTTCATAACATTACACTTGTACACTAATTTAAAAACATAACTTTGGTCTTATGGATTATTAACGATTTGAGCTACAAATTCTATGTCTTTATATCATACATTCGAACTAACGGAAGTATGATGAGTTATATTTTTTGCACTACTCTTGCATCACAATCGCACAATTTATGCCCTAATAAAAACCCTGTATCCTAAACCAATAAGTCTCTCAAATCATGCTACAACGTACTCTAACACATTCATATAGAATAAAGGCCTCACATCAATCACAAAAAAACACTAAAAAAGAACAAAAAGTATAATTGAAAAACAAAAATCACAACCGTTCGAATAGCCTTTAAAACAAATCAAAGCCGTTTGAGCGTCACAACAGGAGGAAAGTTCGATTTTTAAGTCCTTGTAATTTTTTTCTTGACACAATAGATATAGGGAAGGGGGAACTGACCTCGGATGCAAAGATAAATGCTATCAACTACTTGAGTTACAAAGCTCTTGTAAGTTCTTGTAATTTCAACATAAGCATCCGACAAATTTTTGAGTATTTAATAAAGTTGTCTCGAGCTTATGAGTAATTGATTAATGAAAGTATGCATTTATTTTTAAGTTTACCACGATAAATTACATGGTAAATTTTATTGGACGCATAACAGTAAGACCGAGAAATAGGTGAAAAATTATTTCATGATTAAGTGCCATCAAATCAAACAGGCTAGCATTTAAGAGGATACAAAATCTCTAAATACAACAGGTAAAACATATTTCTAAACTTGTATAACCAAAGTAAACTCCCAGATATAGTCACGCAGCTCCTGCAAACGGCTTTTCTACACCTTAATTACCTGCAACACAATCAGCAGAATGTAAGTTATCAGGAGATCGGAATATGAAAATCAATTTGCATGAGAATAAAAAAAGGAAAAAATATTTACTCTTGGCTTAATTTGCATGAGAAGCAGCAGATCGGAAGATGAAAATCAAGGCCAAAATTATAACTTTGGGACAAGACAACCCCAGCTGAACTTGTGATGGTATTATAGAATACAGATGTCATAAAAGGTAGTGTTTTATGGTGGTCTTGCACCTCGGATGCTATTCGAAACATGGGATGATATGCATTTTGGGTAGCAACAATTTGGCTTTCCTATCTCCCGATATCAAATATTATAAAGTTGGTGCCATTTATGCAAAAGAGAGCCACTAGGACAATAGAACACCAAAATGGTGGGGATCGAAAAATTCCTAGATGAGAAAATGGGGTTTGCATAGCCAAAACGAAAGTTTTAGTCTAGACTTGCCTGCTTACTCATGTGTGATTAATTAACATGTCAAGGAAATAAGGGCTGATAAAGAAGCCCTGTGCTTTCTGGAAATCCCATCATCACATTAAGATTCTGTAAGGCTTGACCTGAAGCTCCCTTGACAAGATTATCAATCTGCACCAACATTTTGAAAGTTTAGCTGTCAGCCGATAATAACATAAGCTCACACTTACATAGAAGCACAATTTTTTTCAAAATACAAGGATGGGGAACATGAACATACAACAGAAATTATTATTGCTCTTCCAGGAATCCGATCAGGAAAGACATTGATGAAACAATAATTAGATCCTCGAGTATTATGAGTGCGAGGGACAATTCCTTCATCCAACAAAACTACAAAATCTTCATCCTGCAAAAGAAAAAAGGAAATAGAAAAGAATAATCAATACTTTCACCCATCACCCAAGAGAGTAGAGAAAAAACATGATATAAACATACAAGCAATATGATTGCACAAATAATGTGCTTCCTAGTGCAACTGCCAAATTGCCAAGGAGATTAAGGGACGCTGGTAATTTATCCGACTGAATTATGTTTTATTAATCAATGCAGCATAAGCAGAAGTCCTGCACTCAATATCTTGCCATTTAGCATTGGGTGTTTACACATTGTTTCGGCCAAAAGAAAAACTAGTTTGAACTGTGAATCCTATGAACCAAGTAACACATAATTCTGGCAGATTGTTAAGCCATGATAGTCTAGCTCCACTAATGCAAATAATTGTTCACTGATATGGGAATCTATGAAAGAAAATTCTTGCTTGACAGGTATGTAAATAACCTTTATTTATTAAACCAAACTACTAAACAGTTTTAACTATATGTGTGTGTCTGTGGGGTGTGCATTTAAACTTCAATGTATTGGCTTTTATTCCCACTGAGCATCAGAGATGCATCAATTTATTTATTTTGGTCGTTGATGCGGACATCTGTTTTCCGTTGTTTTAGCTTCCGCTAAATTACCTAAACACTCAATTCACCCATATCCTACATCAGTCGTAGATGCATCAGATAAGTACACAACCAGCAGAACAAAAATATAACCAGTATATACCTCATAGGATAACTTCAACTGTTGGCGTAAGTCCTTGATTTCTACCCCCGGAGCCAGTTCCACATAGATAGTTGATTGCATACCACGACTCTAAAAGACAAAAGTAAAATAATGCTTAGTCTGTTAGCAAAAAGTCAATTGTAAAATACGGAATCTCTAATTGCATATGAGAGTAATAGTTACCATTGGCATTAGATGTGGAGTAAAACTAACAGTTACTTTTGAATTTGCAGCATCAGATAGTCCCTGCTCAATTTCCGGAACTGAATTTCAAAGATAAAATCCAGGTCACTGCCTTAGGTAATCAAAATCAAATAAAAAAACACACATGCTGTCTACTGTTTATGTAACTTCGTACAAGTATCCAGAATATGCAGATACACCATTTTCTGAAGCCTAGACCTTCAATATGAACATCAGCTAGATCAACCAGTAAATTCCAGAATTATGTCATCTAAGAGAGACCACTCAGTCCAGTCAATGAAGGAACACAGTCAACCCCCACTTATCTATTCCATTCAGAAGACGCCAGTAAAAAGGCAAAACTATAGTTCCTAACCTTCATGTTCCTCAACAGTACAAAACTTACAAGCATCTGAATTTCAAAGGTGTAGCAAAGAAGCCCTTCACCCCTTGTTTCTCTTTATTTAAACCAGATTCTTACTACAAACATCGGAGTTTCGAAGTTCTACATCTATTATGTAAGACTAAAGTTCCCAAACTGCATGTTTGTTCAATGGTGTAAAAAACTTACAAGCATTTGAGTTTGAGAGGTGTAGCAAAGAAGTTGTTTACCTGTTGTTTCTCTCCACTTACCAGAATTCTTTAAGCATCTTTTCAGGCGTATGTTCTCAGTAAAGAAGTAAATACACACTTTTTAAAGTTATTTCCCATTATCTGTGTTTAGCTCAATAGCCCATTCTGTGTATTTAGCTTAATTACCCATTCTGTGTATTTTGCTCAAGTTAGGAAGTAAGATTGAACATGTCCTATAGTGTAAAATTTAAATATCTACAAATCCAAAATCTTACCATGGCGATGACGGGTAACGCCATAAGAATATATGCCTTCAGCTATTTCAGTGTACAAATTTGCCTCCTTGGCACCACGTCCTGCAAAAGTAACCAGGCCGCAGGCATAATTGATGGGAGCACTAGGGGCACATAAATGGTAAAGTTTCGCAAGGAAATGTTAGAAACTGCAATCAAGCCCTAACCTGCTCCGCTAACACCAGACTTTGAGTCAATAATAATATTTTTAGGTTGAACGAGATTAGCCTGCAAGGAAAATGCAATAAGAGAACCATAAGGCATGTGCCAGGACCATTGGGAATAAAGAACACCATAACTGGCATGAGGCTAGTGACTAGACAACTGCCATTTATACGATTATAAGTCTACCTAAAACATAATTCATGAGAAAGCAATGCTTATATCGAAACTTTAACACAGTTCGTAATTCATGCCACCTGCATACCTTTAGTTTCATATTTTCAAGGATCAAATATTTTTATTTCTTTTTTCTGCTCTGAAGAAATCTTTAACTTGTGATATCATATGTACTTCCAATAGAATCATAGATAAAACCAAGTTTTGAAGCTTCGCCTTTATACAAGTTTATCACTTTAAGATTGTATTCTGTAACATTCCAAGGAATTTTAATGTCTTGGTTTCCCTCCTAGTGCATGGTGGTTCAGTATGCATAATAAGTGTGCAGGAGTTTTAAGACATAGTATTTCATTTTTCCACTTTTGTTGCTCTCTAAAGAGTATCCAGGAGTTACACCCTCCTGTATTTATATGGGTTTGTATCTCAGCTACATTATTACATCTCAAACAGTGAGTGAATTGATCTCAAGCCCATATTTCATAAAAGCATGCAATTTGCAGAGAACTCATATACAAGGCACAAACCTTAATCAGTGGAACAAGGGGAAGCTGAACAGAAGTTGGATAGCAACCAGGATTAGCAACTAGGCGTGCACTTTTTACCTCCTCCCTTGAAATCTCCGTCAAACCATATACAGCTTCTTTCTGGATCCCGGAAGATAAATGCTTGTTAAAATAAGCAGAGCAATAATTTAAAGAAATAAGAGCAAGATGGTGCCTGAGTTTTATTTGTCATATACATTTGCTGCAAAACAAAGGTGAACTTTATGACAACAAATTAAACAGGCCAGAGTTTTTGTTGAAAGTTGAAGTTAACATTCAATCTATCCCTACAGTAATGCTTGGTGGACTTTATAATTCCGTAGAAGCCTAGGTATGCAGAAGAAATTACCTTACCTGCAATTCTGGTGCTCTATGTGCCTGACCATACCATTCTTCATACTCAGAGATATCTCGTAGACGGAAGTCCTGAAAAAACCATCACATAAAATTAAAAATGTGAAAAATTTATAGTTGATGAGTGCCAATAAAAAATCCCAAAAGCATTGCATGGTAGTGCTATTCAAAGCATACAGCAGACAGATCAACAATCTTTAAACTCTTGGGAAGGCCTTTGATAATTTCCTGCAATTGAAATAACAAACATATACATGTTAGAAATTCAGGAGGAGATTCAGTAAATCAGAAAGGATTGACTGATACAAAGGAAAAAAAAAAAAAAAAAAACCTGTGTGGTTCCGTGTGGTAAACAACAAAATACAGCATCAACATCAGAAAAATCAGCATCCTTGACAGCAACCATTTTTGGCAGATTCTGCAAACACAGAAGGCCAAGCAATGTAATTCCAAAGTATTGAAAATTATGCCATGATCAAACACCACCATCAAATGATTGAAACCCCATCATCAAATTGACCATGACGACAACTAACAGAGCGCAACCATACCATAGGAATGCACCAATATTTAAGCTTATATAAAGAGAAAGAGAAAAGGAAAGATATCATATCATATTTAAATTCAAGTCTTTGGCCCTTAGAGGAAACACATAAATCATAGAAATTCTTACTAGGGAAACCAGATGAGGAAACACCGATCCAATCGACTGTCCAGCTTTTCTATCAGCAGTCATCAAGGTAATGCCAAAGTGAGGATGGTTTGCCAGCAGCCGAACAATCTTCCAGAAAGAAGGATCATCTCAGCTCGTTGTAAGCCATAAAACCATGGAACTACTTAAATATTGAGTACATAATTATCTAACCCAATTCAATTCTCATCTATACTTAACATTACTGCTCTGAGTTAAAATAAGAAATGGTAAACAAAAGGGTTTGTCAGTGAGCCACTACCTCAGAACCAGTGTAACCACTGGCTCCAAGAACACCAAGTCGAACTTCCTTTTCTGCTTTCTGGGTTTTTGTATTCACGGAACATTTAACAAACACCTTCCCTACATTTCGCTTCTTATCCTTTGGATTGTTAAACCCGTCCTGCATTTACCAAACCTCAATAATAAGTTCAACTTTTATGATGGAAAACACTAACACAACAAATCAAAGTTTCCAATTGACTGATAATTTACAATGCAGGGCTTTAACTGGGTTTCCTTTTCCCGCATTTTCTGAGAAAATAAACAGAAATCTTAATGAGTACATACCTTCCTGAGGCACCCAGTTTGAAGAAAATTGGAGCTGAAAGTTGCAGAGCTCATCTTCTATCAGAAACTTGCACAGAGCAACAACACCTAGAAAACTTCAAATTGAATACCAGCTCTCACAAGCCTAAACTACAATACAGCATGTATATATAGGCCGTCAAGAATTAGATGCTGGGGAATGCGAAACTAGAAAAAAGGCTTCTTCTTTTTTGGCAGACAAAAAAGGTTCTTTTTTTCAGTAAGAAAACGGAGTTTCCCCGCTGCAGAAACTGACAGAGCATCCATGACGAAACATAGAATATATTCCACGGTAAAAAAGGCACAAGTGTGGGTGAAAAAGTAATAAACAGTAACTCAATGGAAAAGGACAAAACATTAGGGTTAGGATATGTTTTTTTTTGTTTGCCAGTAGGGTCTGGATTAAAGTGGACATATTAAGGGTGAGGTGAGTGAAATGATCGCTTGAAAATAAAAGGGAAATTTGCTATTATATCCAATATAGATACTCAAATTAATTTAAAAACTCTACATTTTGGAATTTTGGGAAAATATTTAGGAATACCTAATATAGTTAAATGGTAGGATGTCTCTAATACACAGGAATTGTTGAATAAAGTAAATAAAAAAATTTCTAGCTGGAAATCTAATTTACTATCTAGAGCAGGAAAATTAATACTTTTTTTTCGTGTGGAAAATACTAATTAATTCTCATATTTTAAGCATGCCAAATATTTAATGGGTTGTTTTCCTTTTTCTAAAAATGTTATTACAAAAACTGAAAATTCAGGAAGTAAGAAACATCAATAAAACAGTGTATAGCCGCGCGGCTATACATTCTAACAAAAAAAAATAAAAACCGGGTATAGCCGACGGCTATACTATTTTTATTTAAAAAAGAGGAAAAACCGAGTCTAGCCGGGCGGCTATACTCTCTCTCTCTCTCTATCTATCTATCTATCTACATATACGATGACCCTCTTTGCGAACGTGTCAAAATAAATGTAGCTGAAAAGGAAAAAATCGCGTATAGCCGCGCGGCTATACTATTTTGTAGAAACATTAATAAAATATAGTAGCCGCCCAGCGATACCATTTATATATAAAAAGATGACCCTCCGTGCGACACGTGTCAAAATAAGTATCGCCGCGCGGCTATGCTGTTCTGAAAAATATAAAAAAACCTAGTATAGCGGTTAGGCGCCCAGGTGTCAAAATTAGTATAGCCGCGCGGCTATACAATATATATATACATATATATATATATAAAAGATGACCCTCCTTGCAATTAGGCACCATGTGTCAAAATAAGTATAGCTACACAGCTTTTGTGCTTATTACATCAAGACAATGAGATTCAATCTTTTCCCATACCTTCGGCTTGTTACTCACAAGCCTGTGCTTCTGTATGCAAATTCAGCTCAGAGATATGTGCTTTAAATTGGGCAATCTGTCAGGTAAAAACAAAACCATGATACTGCATCTGATGTTTCACAGCATGAAGTTCCAATTCAAGCTCTTCTTCATGCAGCCGTTGTCGTTTAGCTTCTCCCTTAACAATATCAACCTAGGCAGGAGTCCATAGGTCGCGGTGATGATATGATAGATAATATACAGAACTAGAACAAGATTCATGTGACTTAATCGCAATCAAAGACATACCTTGTTTTCCAGCATGTCTACAGTACGTTCAAGCTCCTCAACAGACCTCTCTAAGAGCTTCACCTCTGCCTCTTTGTCGTCAGCATAGTTCTTTCTTAATTCAGCTATCTGAAAATTAGTACCGCAAACTAGAATCAGTATATGTAAATTTGAAGAAAAAGTAGTAAACTGTTTGTGCTGAACAAGCATGTACCTCTTGAGCTTCATTTGCAATTGCTTCAATTTCATCCACTCGTGCTTGTTCTCTTTCAAGCTTTTCCTTCAACTTAAGCATCTCAATGTGAAGAAGATCCTTTTCACTAGCAAGTTCATGCATATTGCTCCTCAAGGATTCATTCGAGTTATTCATTTGGTCAAGAGCATTACTCATTTCCAGGAGTTCCATTTTCAAGCTCTCAGTTATCTTCTGTCTCTCTGTCAACTCCTTCTCAACAGAATACTTTGCTTCCAAAGCATCTTCCATATGAGCTCTCAGCTCCAGGTTTTCACTGGACAGCAATTTTACAGACTCGCGCTCTTCCAATATACCCAACTCAAGAGTGGAGATTACGTTTGTTTTCTCCTCCAGTTGAGTTTCAAGCATTTGGCTGTTAGCAATGGCCTGACCAAGCTCGCATGATTTTGCTGAAAGCTCATCCTCTAAAGCCTCCAAAGAAGACAATATTTCCTCAATTTCATCTTGTTGATCCTTATTCTTAGATGCAGATTCCTGCAACATGCTCAGATCAAATAACAATCCTTTAAGAATGTCATCCTTCCTTAGCATGGCTCTCTAAGCAATCGACCTGCTCAATTAACTCAGATATTCTCTCTCCAGTTTCACATATTCCTTGAAACACATTTTGTCCACAATGATGAAACCTTCGCCCTTTAAAATATTACGTAATATGTTACTCACTGAATCCACAGTTTCCACTGAATCAATGCACTTCTTACTGTTCACATTTGACATGGTGAGGAATTCATCCTTGCTTTTCTTGAGAGACAAAAGTTCTTCCCTGAAGAGAACATTCTCTTCCTTCAGTGTATTAGTTTTGCTAAGACAGATCCGCAACTCCTGGCTTTTTGAGCATAGTTCTTCCATAATGGCCGACTCTGATTGTTTGAGTTCATACAGTGCAGCACTTTTCACCCTTAGATTAGTCTCCAGATTAGCAATGTGAATCTCCAACGAGATAATTTCATCTTGCAACCTGCAGTTTTCTTTATCAAAGACATTTATACGGCTTAATGAAGATGAAAATTCAGAATCCTTCACCTCCAAATTTTTAAGAGTCGTGCTGTTTTCTGGAAAAATGAAAAATGAAAAGAGGACAATAGAGACTCGGGTAATGGCCTAATAGTAATGGATAATGCTCTAAACTATTCTTATATATATCAAGGGTATAGCCGCCCGGCTATACTAGTTTTTAAAGAGAAAAATGGCGTATCGCCGCGCGGCTATACTATTATATGTATTAAAAGAAAGCCCTTCCTATTGGGCGCCCACCAGTCAAAATCGGTATAGCCGAACGGCTATACTAATTTTTTTTAGAAAATAGAAAAAATGGAGTATGGCCTATGAATAGAATATTTTAAAAGTAAAGCCGTTTGGCTATATGCTGTAAATTAGAATTGTGGGCTAATATTTTTGGAGTAGGATTAGCTTATAAAATTTGTACTAAGTTTAGTATTTTTAAAATTTTACACTTAGAGCCCAGCCTAGCCTGTACATGGATTCGTTCTTATTCAGGGTGCAAAGTGAGACTCAAATACATTTTCAGGAGGTATATAAAAAAAAAAAAAGCCAAATATTAATACGGAGAGAGAAAATGGAATGGGAAAGTCAATAAAAAAATTAATTACAATATATCATTATATTAAAATATATATATATATATATATAATTAGTTTATTTAATTTTAGCCATTCATTGTACTCTAATCTAATGGTTGAAAACTTGTGTCAAATAAAAGAAGGACAATTATCCTTGACAATTTGACATTTTGTCGTCCAAAATATCCAATAAGGCCTTGTTTCTTTATTGCCGATTCAAAGATTTTTGAGTATTTTAACAGTATAGCCGAGCGGCTATACCCTTTAAATATATTCCAGACACGAAGCTTGCACTCGCAGAGTACGGAACTTGCACTCACAGTCGAGCCATTTCGCTTCTCTATCAACTCAAGCTTTGATTTGTTTTGTTTGGTTTCGGCTCCGGGTTCGGCAACGAAAAAAGACCGAAACCGCCTAGGCGCCCGCCTAGCGACCGCCTAGTCGCCTCGCGCTCGCCTAGCGACCGCCTAGCAACCGCCTAGCCATCTCGCGCCTTCCTAGCGACAGCCTAGCCGCCTCGAGCCCACCTAGCGACCGCCTAGGCCGATTTTTCGAACACTGCCATTGACTGAAAGTCTGAAACAACAATGGCGTCTTTCAGCGTCCTTTGGCTTCTTTTGCAGTCTATGCTTTCTCAACTGCTTCTGGTTTCATGTGTCCATGGCTCAAAATGTTACTACCGATCCATCTGAAGGTACTAGCCATCTTTCAGGTATAGCATAAATACGTTATGTGAGGTGTACGCAATGATTGAATTGAGAATGCAGTGACGGCGTTGATCTCAATATTCAAGCAATGGGACATGCAAGCCCTGCCTATCAGTGGAGGAGAGCAATGCATTGGATTTGCCATCAATGGAAGCGAGTTTGAAAAGCCAGAGAATAATCCAGCCATCACTTGTGACTGTACTTATGACAAAAATACTATCCAAACTGTATGTTATTACCCTCCTCTCTCTCTCTCTCTCTCTCTCTCCATATTCTTTAGTCTTGTGTTGTTGACTGTAGCAAATCAATTAATTATCAAGTTTGGAAAACTAAGCAGAACATGCCTGATATATCAATTGTAATATTAAGTGCCTAACTGCTCAATCTTTTTTCTTTCCAGTCGAGTTCATGCTCTGAACAAACTAGGGGTGTTTCCAAAAGAATTTGAGGCTTTAAGATATTTGGCCGTTTTGTATAAAGTTTTTCCAACCCCCCTCTCTGTTGTTTGGTTTATCGCAGTCAACATTTTCATATAAAAGACACAGGTTTCTTACCGTTCAACATTGTCACGAATATTTTTTATGCTCAGAAATTAATAGCTGGTCATTGCATTTTGTTTCAATTCTTGTAGGAAACTTGATCTGAAGTATTTCACCGGTCCCCTACCAGCATTCATTGGCAATATGTCTGCGTTGACAGTATTGTAAGTAGTGAAACATAAACTCCCAAGTGAGTTATACCATATGGCCAAAGAAGCACATAGTACGTACTCTGTTTTTATCCTGAATTATAAACGGGTGCTAATATCTTTAATTGATATTTCCATTCAGGTCAATTGCCCACAATTCATTCTCTGGGCCCATCCCCAAGGAGCTTGGAAACCTTAAGGAGCTAACTATGCTGTAAGCAAAGAAAACTGGGAAATGCTCTATTGGGACATGTTAAATCTAGAACCCCCTATCATTTAATTCTATATCTCTTCAACATGACTTGTTGCAGGTCCTTTGGATCAAATAATTCCTCCGGAACACTCCCTCCAGAACTTGGTAACTTAGTCAATCTCGGGCTATTGTGAGTGCTTC